AGTTAGTTTGTCAGAGGTTGTCCCTTAAGCTTCATATCTCAGCTCTCGTAACTGATACAAAAAAGTTGTCAACTAGTAAAATGTACAAAATTCAATTTTCAGCAGTTCATTAATTGTAAATTTTTTGATATCTCTACTCCTAGCCGAGATATGAGCCTTCAAACTAGCGTTCCGTAGGGTGCACTTGCAGCACACTGAAAATCACGAAGGTTTGGGGCTACATATCTCGGTTAGGAGGAGAAATAGAAAAACGTTGTCAACTAGTGAAATGTGTGAATTTTCACGCTGAGCGAGTTATTAGTTGACACATTTTTGATATCTCCACTCCTAACCAAGATATAACGTTCCAAAGAAAAAAACTATACCTCAAACTTGGTGCAGGCGCACCTTTTATGTTTGCAGCTTCATATCTCGACTTCCATTTGAGATACCAGAAAGTTGTCAACTAAGGAAGTACTTAAAATAAAATACTGAATATTTTATTAGTTGGCAATTTTTTGATATCTCAACTTCTAACCGAGATATGATGTTTCAAACAAAACCCTACCCAAAACAGGGTGCAGTTCGGCCCTTTTTTAGTTTGAAACGCTATATCTCGACTCCCAAAATAGCTGGCAAAAAGTTATCAACTGACAAAATATGCAAAATTACAAGGTAAATATTTTTTTAGTTGACACTTTTTCCCTATCTCCCCTTCTAACCAAGATATAACGCCCCGAGCCCCCCTTCTTACCTCCCAATCTTGGTAATAACCATTTCGGTTCCAAATTCCGAGAACTCTTCCCATAGCTTCTTCTCATCTAACTCTGCTTTCGGATCATCCACTATTTCTTCTTCCGGCAATGCATTTTTGAATAAAAAATCCTGTAGAATCGGTAGGTTCATAATAGGAAAAGGAGGAGGGAGGAATGAGAGTTCTCTCCTCCCTTCAGAACGCCGTCTTGACTCCGCCCACAAGGGACGGAAGGGACGGGAAGGAAGGGGGAAGGAGGCGGGGTCAACAGTGTTTTTTTTGTTTTCAAATTTCGGAGAGAATTGATAAGGATATCTAATCACTCAAATAGTATGTCAGGTGTCAATCATGGTTTTTAGAGAAAACTTGATAAGGTCAAATTACTTCCAAGGGGGGGTGTGGGTACTTGGTATGGTAGTTAAGTTAGGAGTGGCGATAGGCAAAAAGTGTAAACTAAGGAAATGTTTACCATGCAATTTTGAACATTTTTTTAGTTGATAACTTTTTTGTATCTCAACTAGGAGCTGAGATATAAGGGTTCAAGTTATAGGGGCAGCTGCGGTACAACCAGTATATCTCTGTTAGGAGTGAAGATATCAGAAAATTGTCAACTAATCACTTGCTCACGATCAAATTTTGAACATATAAGTGGTTGACAACATTTTTGTATCTTCACTGGGAGCCAAGATATCGAGGCTAGAAGCAGGCGTGCTCTACTGCTGCATATAGGTACCTGAGTACTAGTGCAGCAATTATAGCGTTATATCTTGGTTAGGAGTGAAGATATCGAAAAATTGTCAACTAACGAATTGTTCAACATTGAATTTTGCACATTTTACTAATTGATAACTTTCTTGCATCTCCCATGACAGCTAAAATAAAAAGCTCCAGAATTTCAAGGATAGCAAAAGTTTTGTTACAGGATTTTGGTCCCCAATTTTCCTACAGTAATCTTCAATGACCCCCCCCCCCAAGTAACACAAACAATTATTGTAACTCTTCTCTTCCGTCACTATTACCATGTCTAAACACTTGTATGTATATCGAGATAGTGATCTGATGGGAAAACTGACGAGGTGTGAAGAACCACGAGATCTTATCGTCAGGAAGTTGGTGGGAATATGTTTCTAAGAAAGGCAACTTGCCCAGGGTTTGCCCACCAATTTTTATTTTCTTTTGTTGAACAGCATTAATTCGTACATTTTGATGATGAAGAAATGATGATGATGATGACTCATAAATTATAGTGAGGGAGGACAAAAACAGAAGTTTCATTTGGGAGGGAACAACAACTTTTATGTTGCATAATGAATTTTTGTTTTTTCTTTTCATCACAAAATTGTACGAACATTTCCGGGAAAAAGGAGTAGGGGACAGAGAAGGCGTACTGTAACATTTTCTGTGTGCGTTTTCTTAGATCCTCTGTAAGTTTGATGCTCTATATCTCGGTTCCTAGTAGGGATGCAAAAAAGTTGTCAACTAATGAACAACATAAAATTTTATTCTAAGCAATCGATTAGTTGACAACTTTTTGATATCTCTTTTCCTAACCAAGATATACTGCATCAAACAAAAGGAGGTCGGTGAGCTTGTTGCAGGTCCCCTCCAATGAATCGGCGCTCTATATCTCGGCTCCCAGTAAAGTTACGAAAAAGTTGTCAATTAACAAAATTTGCACAATTTTATTTTGAGCAGTTTACTAGTCGACAAGTTTTTGATATCTCTATTCCTAACTGACTTGTATTTCTTTGAAGAAAAAAGTCTTGCTACCGTTCGTGATGGCAAGATCTCTTGGAGTTCCATATCTCGGCTTCCAGTGAACTTACAAGAAAGTTGTCAACTAACAAAATACGCAGAATTGTACTCTGAGCAATTCATTAGTTAACAACTTTTTGATACCTCTATTCCTAAGCAAGTTATGTGCCTTTGAACAAAAAAGGTCTTGCTACGCCTCGTGATGAAAAGGTCTCTATATTTTGGAGCTCATATCTCGATTTCCAGTAAAGATACAGAAAAGTTGACAACTAACAAAATGTGCCAAATTTTATTCTGAGCAATTTATCAGTTGACAAATTTTTCCTAATTCTACTCGCAACCATGCCGCTCAGTTAGAAGTCAACCCACAAGTATATAATAATCCATTTGTTAAGAAGCACTACTTCACCGTAATCCAAAAAACCTAATCCTTAACACTTGGCCACTTACCCCCTAAGTCACCCCAAACACACACCTCCCATTGAGACCATTGTGTTTATGTTAGTTGGCACGTTATCGCTCACTATTACGTAATAGTTACCCAACTACAGTGTCCTATTACTCCCCCCCCCCCCCTGGGGGTTTGGGTAACCGGATATCTCCACGTGTCAACTCTCACCACTGATTTTATGGATTATCTCTCACTCTGCTGGTCATATTCGGAAGTTTGTTTATTCTTTGGATTGGGTCTATAAGGGCATTGACCCAAATTATCGGGGATGGAGGGGGGTACTAAGGGAGGTGGGATAAAAAGAAGGGTTGTGCGGAAAATTACTTTCGAAAAAATTTTCCAATTTTTGTTTTAGGAAAAATTCGAAAAAAAATTTCAAGCCACAAAGAAAATTGATTAAAAAACCACAAAGAAATTCGATAATCACCAAAATTTGCCGAAAAATATGGGTTTTTTCCTTGTATATCGCTAGAAAATTCTCCATTTCTCATTAAAAATTTCAGCTTCCGTAAAAAAATTTTGATACAATTTTTCCAAAAAAATCTTTTTTGCACCATTTTGATTAAGAGCTGAAGGAACGTTAATAGAAAGAGCGGACAAAGGACACCCCCAGGTAATAATAATTCAAAAACACCAAAACAATTATTATCCATCTATACCAATTACCCAAGATGCGTTTAATGAGACAAATGGTCTTGTTTGGGGTCAAATTTCAAATATATTTTATTTGTCGGGTTAATCACAGGTTGTTCCCAATCCCCCCCCCCCCCCTTGTTGCTCTTTTTGTACAGCTCATTAACGAGGATAAACGATATTCGAGGAAAAGGACCGATTGTTTTGCACATGTTGGATAACAACAGAAGGATACTATAGTAGCAACGCGCGCCTCCGGCGCGTTTGCAACAAGATGTCAAATTTTTACTTTCGGCGAGTACATCTAGTTCAATCAAGTGCGCTGCACGAAAATATTGGGGATCTCTGGCAGTTTTTCAAATTTCCTAAAAGCCTATACCTGCATTATTGTCAAATTTCGGCCCGGACAGGCAAGGCCCTGTGGCTTGGGCCAGACAAGCAGGGTCGACAATTTGGAAGACCCGTCCTGGCACGGATTCAAAACATTTTGAATTTTGTTTCGAAAAAAAACTGCACTTTTTCAGAAAATTTTTCTTTTTTTTTTCACTGAAAATTCATCAAAGTAGTGTAAAATGATTGAAAAACTTAAAACTACAGTTTTTATGCTCAATATAACCGTGAAGCACAAAATTGGGATTTTTTTTTCGATTTTTTTCAAAATTCGCGGTAATCTTCCGGTCCTCCGGGCTGGGCCGGGCCGGGCCCTGGAAATTGGTGGGAAGGCCCGGCCCAAAACAAGTATGAATATCGGATACTTTTATAGCAGAATTTTTTTCGTTTCTAATAAAGGCCTGTTGAAAACGTTGAAGTTTCAATAAAATTCGAAAAATGGTCGTACAAAAAAGTTGTCAACTACAAAAATGAGGTTCGTGCTATGTTTGAAACACAAAAAATGCCCACTACCGTTGAAAAACGTTTTACCTGTTGGCGCATTTTCATTTCCACCATCACATAACAGCATGAACTTCTATGAGTACACTGTTTTCTCCTCTTTTGATCGCTTACGCTGATTCTCTATTTCTTTTCTCCTATCCGCTTGATATCCTTATCCTAGACAATAAGAAGGTCAGTCTCTTCATTCTTCATCAATCTTCTTTGATTCGCACATTCATTTTTCGGAAAAGTGTCAAAAGAATAAGATGATAGAGACCTGACTTCCCGTTTACACAGTTTTTTCCGTTTGATCCTTTTTCTCTATTCTCCCGAAGAAAGGTGTTGATAACACAAGTATGTTCTTTTTCGAATGAAAAACGAGACACGGAGTGAGAAATCGTACGATGGAATGGATGTCAGATTGATGGGAGACAAGAGAAGTGTGTTACATGATAAGGAAGAGATGAGATGAAAGGAAAGTGATTGCGGCTGAATGAATGATAGCGGATTCTGTGAAACAACAATGAAAAGACGAAAAAAAGAAGAAAAAAGTTTTGCACCCGTCGGGAGTCGAACCCGGGTCGAGAAATTCAAAAGCAGACGCGCTAGCCACTGCGCCACGCAGCCAACGCCAGAGAAAGAGGGGGAGGGCGTACAAGTAAAAGCGCACTTCCCCTTTTTCTTGGGGGGGGGGGGGTGTAAAAAAAAAAACAGATTGAGCGGGAATTCAAAAATTCAAAAAAAAAAAATAATTTCATTCTCCAAATATTTTCCAATAAAAAGATATATAAATGTCTCATTCTTCTCAAGTAGTCCTTCTTCTGATCAACGATTTTTCTGAGTACTCAACAGTGCATTCACTCTCTTCACTTCCTCATTATCAATCAAATACGAGTAGGTACACAAATCCAAATCCTTCAAATTGATCGGATCATCATTTGAATCTTCAGTGAATGATCCACCATCCTGAAGGAAATTGATGAAATTGCTCAGAATAGAAAAATAGGAAGAAAAACGTACGATAAGAATGTTGGATTCACATCTCGGGGAACGAATCATGTGGATATTCGTGTTGGCTTTTCCGAAAGCTCTGGAGATGAAGAATTGACGGAATAGGTAATCGTCGTGGGCAGTTCCAAATGAGAATTCGATCTGAAACACGGATGATTGGGAAGAGAGAGAGGGGAGGAAGAGGACGCAGAGAAGTCCAACAGTCTCGCTTCTCTGCGCGCTCTCCAGCGCTGCGTCCATGCGCTCTGGGTAGAAGAGACGCAGAGAAACCAGAGTGTCTAATTTCTCTGTGCTCTCTCGCGAGCCTCTCTGAGAATAGAACATTTTAATAATTGATTGCGGATTCACTAAAAATTCAAAATTGACAGCGACCGTTTAAAGAGTGATGTAAACTGATGTCCAAAGCACGCAAATTTCCGCTTTTCAAACTTAAAATTCGGAAAATCCAAGTTCACCACCGGATTTCCCGTCAAATTTCACACCGCCACCTATTTTTGTAGAGCTCTAGCTCGAAATGTCGTGGGATCAAGTGCAAGGTACGCAAACACGGTGACTGCGTACCGTACACCTGATCTTACGACACTTTGAGCTGCGGCTCTAAAAATTTGTGTGCCGGCATGAAATTTTATGGGGAATTCAGTGGGGATCTTGGATTTTTGATATTTTCACTTTGAAGCATATCAACCACCCACCAGTTCATTATCATCAGGCCCCAGCTGTTTGGCTGCCGGATTAGCCTCTCTCATAATGGTAAACTTCATTCTATCCATCAATTGAAGATCCGGAATTTCAATGGGAACATCCGTATCTGGTGGAATCATGAAACCGTCTTGAATGAAAACATCAAAAGTGTCCTCAATCTTCATATCAGTCTTGTAGGCATCCATTGATTTGTCCGTCGCCCAGAAGCGGATCCTGTAAAAAGAAATGGGTATATCTTGGTTAGGAGTGGAGATAGAAAAAAGGCGCCAACTAAAAAGTTGTGTAAAATTGCATGAGAAACATTTTACCAGTTAACAATTTTTTGGTATCTCTGCTCCGAACTGAGGTACGGCGCTTTGAACTTCCCCCTAGTACTGAAGAGAGGGAGCAGTAGAGTGCAATTGCTTCAAAGGCTTATATCTCGACTCCCAGAAATGATACAAAAATGTTTTCAACTAACAAAATGTGTAAAATTTTATTCTGAGCAATTCTCTAATTTACAACTTTTTCCTATCTCCGCTCCTAACTTAGATATGTCCCCACTTACCATTGACAATTATTCATGGAGAATTCCCATTTGAAAGTGTATGCTCCACCAGGTTGCATGTTCGGTTTCAGCAGGTGAAAACTGGCCGTCGAGACGTGCATCGATCGTTCGAAAACTGGTTTCCGGGCTGCGGTGACACCCAATTTCTCGTAATTCGGACAGACTTGAGTGACTGCTCCCAGTTGACTGTTGGTGGAGGGGGTGAGGTCTTTGAGGTGCTAAAAAAGTGTGGTAGGGTATGGGGGTGGACTCCGCAAACACCAATGTCTGCAATCTGACGTGATGGTGTTTACAGAGCAGAGCTCGTAAGTAGAATTGTCGTCAATTCCGATGCCAAGTCCGCAAACACCATCACGTCAAACTTCAGGCTTTGTATTTGAGTGACTGCTTCTGATGGTATTTGCAGACCCGGCGCCATATCTGACGACAATTCAGTTCAAGGACGTAGAATGGTTTTGGGAAAACTGAATTGTCGTAGAATTTGGCGCCGAGTCCGCAAACACCATCACGTCAGATTGTAGACATCTAGGGTCAATAACTGCGAGGTGATTGCAGACAAGGCATTAGATCTCACGACAATCCAGCTTTGAAGCTCAAAAGTCAATTGTCGTAAGATCCGATGACAAGTCCGCAAACACCGCCACGTGAAGGTGATTGCAGACCATACACCACATCTTACGACAATTCAGTTCCCAAGCTCAAAAGTGAATTGCCGTAAAATCCGATGTCTAGTCTGCAAACACCTTGACCGAACACCATCACGTCAAATTGCACACCAGCCTCCCCGCCAACCTACCGTCAACAAATCGACAGTCTTCTTGCTATTCCCGACTTGTGGAAGGTCTACAGTGGGCACATAGGCGGTCCCTATTTCCTTCTTCACTAGCCAACTTGGCCAATTGGCCGTCACTGCTGGGTCCTCTTGTCCAGCGTCAGCGGCATCGAATATTGGAGCAAATTTGTATCCCGGCTTGTTGATCTCACACATTCGGCTGGAAATTTGTTGAAGAAGAATCATGCATTTTTGGCCCTGGGGGTTCTAATTTTGAAAAAAAAAATCTAGGAATACGAAATGAAGAGGTGGTAGATCAAAAAGTTTCCTATCGATTGATATACTGGTGGGTGGTTGTTACGCTTCAAAGTGAAAATATCGAAAATCCGAGCTCACCACTGAATTTCCCGTTAAATTTCACGCCGGCGCCCAAATTTTTAGAGTCGTAGCTCAAAGTGTCGTGAGATCAGGTGCACGGTAAGCAGTCAGGGTGTTTGCGTACCTTGCACATGATCCCACGACATTTTGAGTTAGAGCTCCACAAAAATAGGTGGCGGTGTGAAATTTGACGGGGATTCCGTTGGTAAACATGGATTTTTTGGATTTTGAGTTTGAGAAGCGGAAATTTCCGTGCCTTGGACCTGATCTCTCGACACTTTTTTTCGAACTGATTTCAAATTTCCGTTGAATTCTAAAATGTTCTCTCAGAGAGCCCAGAGAAATCAGACACTCTCGGTTCTCTGCGTCTTCTCTATTCCAGGCGCATGGACACAGAGCTGAAGAGAGCGCAGAGAAGCGAGAGCGTCTGGCTTCTCTGCGTCCTCTTTCTCCCTTCCTGCCTCACTGTCTCTAGGTGAGATGTACTGCGTTGAACCCAAATTCTGCGACACTAATTTCTTTTTAGCTTTATATCTCAGCTCCCAAGACAGATGAAGAAAAGTTGTCAACTAACAAAATGTGTGAAATTGCATGCTAAACATTTTCTCAATTGATAACTTTTTGATACCTCTTCTGCTTAAAAAGATATTCAGCTCCAAACCTTAGATACCGTGAGCCACTGCGCCCCTATTACTTGCAGCTGAATATCTCGGTTCCTAGAATAGATAGAAAAAAATTGTCAACTAACAAAATATGCAAAATTGAATGCTGAACGTTTTATTAGTTGGCAACTTTTTGATACCTCTACTCCTAGCCAATTTATGCCCCTCCAACTAACCTATTAGTCAAAATCAACAGATCCTTCTGGCTCAAATCCCATTCAAAAGTCTCCACTTCCTTCTTCTCGGTCTTCATCGTTTCCCAATCATCATGATCGATTGGATTTCTTTTCAATGCACCCAACGTGTACTTCATCAATTTTAAGTCACCGGCACGTTGGAATTGGAGGGATGGCTCCACGTAAAAAGCTTGCTGCTCAGGGGTGGCTGGGTCTTTTTCTGAACAAGGTTTGACGGTAGAGCGCGTCCGTGTCGTAAACGCGCTCTACCGAAACTCAGTGTGCGGTAGAGCGTATTTGCCCGACTTACTGAAATGGATTTTCTGAATGTGTGGATAGAATTTGATGTACATGTCGTCGCATGAGAACTCGTCGAATCGCTCCTTTCCATCGTACGTCTTCTTTTTCACTGGACAGACGTAGACACTGAAATTGATCATAGTGAGAGAGAGAGGACGCAGAGAAGCTAGATAGCCTCGCTTCTCTGCGCTCTCTTCATCTTTGTGTCTGAGATAGAAGCGACACAGAGAAACGAGAGTGTCTGACTTCGCTGCGCTCTCCATGTTTCTCAGAATTTGAGAGAAAAAGAAGGAGAGAGAAATTGAGAAGCTAGATACCCTGGCTCACCTGTGCTCTCTTCAGCAGTGCGGCCATTCGACTAACATAAAAGAGACGCAGAGAAACGAGAGTGTCTGGTTCCTCTGCGCTTCTTATAGTCTCCTTGAGAGAGAGAGGCAAAGAGAGAAGAGACGCAGAGAAGTTAGATGACCTCGCTTCTCTGTGCTCTCTTCAGCTTCTTGCCTGGGAAAGAAGAGACGCAGAGAAACGAGAGTGTCTAACATCTCTGCGCTCTCTGAGCTAGAGACAGAGAGCTGAAGAAAGAGAGGGCGCAGAGAAGCCAGACACTCTAGCCTCCCTGCGCTCTCTTCAGCTATGTGAGAGAGAATAAAAACTCACGCATGACAATATTTGGGTGGCCAAAAGTGCACTCCAAATTGCATCTCATGAGTTCCGACAGGCCAAATCGAAGCCCATCCCGGACGTCCTTCGTCGCTGAAATCCTCTAATAGAACGGCTCCCATGCAAGATACCAAAAAGTTTTCAACTAATGAAATGTGCGAAATTTAATTTTGAGCAATTCCCTAGTTGACAATTTTTTGATATCTCTGCCCTCCACTGAGATATGATGTTTCAAAAAAACTGACTGATTTCTCGGCTTCACCAAGTAGGATCCGTGCATCTCGTGCACTGGCTTCTTGAAATCAAACTTTTCGAGCTCTACAGGTGGTGGATCGGTAGGCGGATCGGTAGGCGGGTCAGTAGGTGGATCAGTGGGCGGATCGGTGGGCGGATCGGTGGGGGGATTGGCGGCAGGGTC